GGTGCAGCAGGAGTTTTTATGGTGGCTCTAAACATGAGGATTTTCTACTCTAAACTTTCAAGTAGGAATAAGGGATCTTCCGGAAAAGGGCTTATTTTCTGCAAGATCCCGTTTAGACTGGCGCTTTTCTCCGGCAAAACCCCGAGCCGGAAAAAAGCGGCAGCCATGTTCATGCAAATGCCGCGGGGGATATTTAAATCCCCCACGGCATTTGCAATTCCGAAGTGTCTCATTAGCATCCATTTTCCGGAAAGGGGTGCCAATGTAGACACAGCCCATGTGTGCAACAATGGAAGCAACATTGGGGTGGCTGAAGATTTGGGCCTGCCCTATGATGAAAAGTTACAGAAGTTTGGTATGTGAAATACTGACACCCCTAACCAACAGAGCTATGCTGACAAAAGCCCTACTGTAGACTTATCTGAGAGTTCTTTTGCTAGTGGAGTGTGTTTCATAAGGGAAATTAAATAACATCAGCAAAAGAACTTGATTGTTGATATCCTTATACTGGTGAGCTCTTTTTAGTGTAAAACTGGCTTTCCAGTATAGACTATCTTCTGAGAGAAGAAATCACTGCAGAATAGTTTTAAAAAAATATGTTAAAAACATTATTTTTATAGAAATTAAATGCAGGTTTATTTTAAAAAGCTAAACCTCTTTAAAATTAAATTGAAAAAGCCTGTGCTAAGGCCTAAAACTATTATAATCTACAAATGATTTAAATAAAGTGCAAAAAATGTTTAGTACATATTTTCTCCCAAGGTCTAAACAGAATCAGACCACTGAACTGGAAGTCACTGGCTGAGAACCTGGAACTAGAGACTGTTGAAGTGCTAAGCCACTTTTTTTAAGCAGTAGACTTCTGCAGATGCCAAGAATATAGGTTTTTCACTGCAGCTTATTCAACTTGCTCAGTTCAATGACCAATTCAGAGTTTAAGAAAGCTTGTCTTCTTCTAGCCCAGTAGTCACTAACGTTTTAAACCACAAGATCACTTTTTCAATTTAAGGGCAATGTTAAGATCTACCTCAATCCCAAATATCCTTCTTTGAGGCCCCGACCCCTGCTCCACCCCCTCTCTAAAAACTCACCCTTCTCACTCCAGCCCCATTCCTCCCACATCCTCACTCACTTTCACCATGCTGGGGTAAAGGATGAGGGTGCCAGCTCTGGTGTTGGGCCAGGGGTTGGGAGTGTGTGAGGGCCTCCGGGCTTAGCCTAGGGCAGGGGACTGGAGTCCAGGGCTATGTCTACACTGGCGGGTTCTTGTGCAAGAACTCTTGCACAAGAACATGTCCACACGGCCATGTGCTTTTGAGCAAGAGCATCCATGACAGTGTGGACGCTCTCTTGTGCAAGAAAGCTCTGATGGCCATTTTAGCCATAAGGCTTTCTTGAGCAAGAAGCCTCTGATGCACGTCCACACTGCCCGCTTGTGCAAGAGCTCATGCATAAGAGGGCTTACAGTTGTTAGAAAAGAGCATAGCTCTTACGCACGAAGCCCTGTCTTCTGACACCATACTGTAAATCTTCTTGCGCAAGAGCGAGCGGGCAGTGTGGACATAGCCCAGGAGGGGGTTATGGGTGCAAGCCCTGGGAAGGAGTTTGGGTGCAGGGGGATCCATATCTGGGGCAGGAGGAGGTTCAAAGCTAGGATAAGGGTTCAGGAAGCAGGCTCTGACTGGGCACCATTTAACTGAGACAGCATCTGGGGGGTGGAGCAGTGTGCTTAAGGCAGGCTTACTCCTGCCCTGGCCTGCACCACTCCTGAAAGCACCTGGCATGTACAGCAATGGCACCATATGCTGCCTCTTAACCACAGGTACTGATCCCAGAGCTTCTACTGGCCGCAGTTCCCCATTACTGATCAATGGGAGCTGCAGGAGTGGTGTCTGCAGGTAAGGACACCATGTGGAGACAGCCTGCTCTGCCTCTCTCAGGGGCATGCCTGTTACATCCAGGAGCAGCAATTACCATAGGTATAATGACTTCAGCCACGCCAGGTTAGACATTTTAAAACTCACTACTCAAAGAATTAATTTAAATGTAAGAGAAATGAAAATTATGAAAAGCACAGACCAGTCAAACCCTCAAAACACCCCACTTTGCAGGCAGTAAAAGTAGTAACAACGACCCCTCACATGTGTGTTGGGTCAGGAGACGAGAGTACAGGACAGTGCGTGTTTGTGAAAAAGAGACACACAGTGTGAGTACCAGATTTGCATTGCCAAACTCCTTCCATCCCCTTATCTCAGTGTGGAGATAGGGTACAGGAGTGGGGGGAGGAGGGACACTAACATCCGCACCCCCTTCTCCCTCCAGCACCCTGCACAGCAAGCAGAAGGGTCCCGGGGAGGGCAGGAGCAGCAGCAGCAGGGCAGTGGGTGGAAGAGCAACTAAAGTGCCAGCCTTGATAGCTTCCTGGCCAAAAATGTCAGGATCACCTGTCAGAGGCTCCAAGTAGATCCCAATCTACTGGATGGGGACCACTCTTCTAGACTATGAATAGAAGTTAGGTGCACAAGGATGAAATCTACTAGTTCTAAAATCTTGAAGCACATGGTGATTAAATAGTATCAGTCCAATTCACTACAGACAACTTTCGTTTTTAAAACTGATTTTTTTTCAAAAGCAAAAATTTGACAGATCTAGAATTTAAGAATTTTAAATCTGTTTAAAATGTTGTGTATTTAACTGAATTTGAATATTCTACCAAATGCAACTTGTCATATATTGCAAGTAAATAAAAGTAATCCCCAGTAAACATGTAAGCTATTTAATTACTTAAACATATACAGATACAGTGCATTTTTCTTATTAGCAAGAAACACCAACTTTAGCATAAAGGCTAAAGTAGCAGGAAATCAAATGTTTTAATTGTTGCCAACCTGTGAGAGTTGCACTCTCTCTAAGAAAATAAATGAAGGACAAGTACAAAACAATTAAAATTGATTATTCAAATCAATGTTTCCTGCCTGCTGAGTTAGATCTTTCCCAGGATGAGTTGGGCTCTACTTATTTGTGATATGTTCAACTGCATATGCAAATTTGAAAATGCCACCAATACAGTGTACATTAAGGAAGAGTGACAAAAACGAACACAGTCTCAGAGGGTAGCCAAGTTTGTCTATAACAGCATTCCTTAAACTTTTTAAGACTGAGGAACACCAAACCATTTTTTTAAGAACACCACCAAGGATTTTTTGTTGAGGGAGGAAAGAAAAAAAAAGGTTGGAGGAAAAGGGTCAGGGAGAAGTTTGAGGAAAAAAAAAAAAGAGTAGAACACAGTTTAAGAAACACTGGTCTATAACATTAAAAACAAGCAGCCCTGTGGCACCTTAGAGACTAACAAACATTATCTCATGAACTTTTGTGGCTAAAAAACACTTAGAATCATAGAATACTAGGACTGGAAGGGACCTCGAGAGGTCATCAAGTCCAGTCCCCTGCCCTCATAGCAGGACCAAATACTGTCTAGACCATCCCTGATAGACATTTATCTAACCTACTCTTAAATATCTCCACAGATGGAGATTCCACAACCTCCCTGGGCAATTTATTCCAGTGTTTGACTACCCTGACAGTTAGGAACTTTTTCCTAATGTCTAATTTAAACCTCCCTTGCTGCAGTTTAAGCCCATTGCTTCTTGATCTATCCTCAGAGGCCAGGATGAACAAGTTTTCTCCCTCCTCCTTATGACACCCTTTTACATACCTGAAAACAGCTATTATGTCTCCCCTCAATCGTCTCTTTTCTAAACTAAAGAAACCCAAACAAACCTAAACTAAAATTCATCAGATTAGTCAGAGTGTAATTTACAGAATCCAGGATATATACAAAAGATTGTAGGATCAGTGTTAATGAAGTTAATTGAGTCAGGCTGGATGTGTCCAATTCATAACTTGTGATGTGTACTTGTGAATATCGACTGGGGGGGGAGAGAGAAGAGGAGGCAGTAGGGAGAAGAGAAAGATTGTCTTTGTAGTGTGTGAAGCACTTAATATCTTTATTCAATTCCAAGTTAATAGTATGGAACTTATAATAGAATTTTAGTTCAGCAATTTCCCTCTGTAATTGGGTGATAAAAATCCTTTGCAGAGATTAGTCTTCCAAAAGTGAGGGAACACAGAGATGGATTATGGTTTCTTGTTTTCAACCTAGACCTTTGAATTTACCTTAAGCTTACCAGATCCCAACCATGGGAAAAGAAAGCATTCATGAATGCCAATTCAACCTAGTGTTTATTTGATTTTTGCCTCAAATCACAGCCAAACCCTTCACTGTTAATAAAAAAAACTGTAGACCCCCTCCAGCTGAGAAATTATGGCATCTGGGTTTGAAGAAAGCCTAGTGAATTGCTTCTTGGCCTTTTGGCTAAGACCAAATATCTTTAACTAAGGCTTCCCCTGCACTTCAAAGTAGCATCATTTTAGTAGTCAGTTAGTTGTCAGCACTGTTTATCTGATTTCAGAGACAAGGAAAACTTATGGTTGACGCTGAACAGATATTATCCACATTTACAAATAGCTTAAGGCATTAGTTTGACTAACAGGCAGTTGAGTGTTAATTGCTGAAGCAGTGTTACTTTTCTGAATACAGACAGTGGTTAAGCCGCTCCCATCTTTGAAAGACCAGCCCCATTTTACAGGCGGGTAAACAGCGGAGCAAGGTGACGACTTGCCCAAGGTCACACCGCAGTGCCAGGAGCAGCCGGCGGGAGCCCTGACCCGACCCCTGCCAGGCGCGGCGCACAAGCCCCTCGGGAACGACACCCCCCCGACCCAGACTAGATGGGCTCGGACGCCACGTGAGACCCGCTCGCAGAAACGCCGCTCCGGAGCCTCTGTCCCAGGCCTGAGCCGCCAGCCGCGGCAGGGACTCCGGCCCCCCCAGAAGGCAACCGCGGAGGCACCGAGCGGAATGTCCCGCTCCGAGCCCCGGAGGAAGCGGCCAGGGAAGGGCAGGGAAGGTCACGGACTCTGGCCGGCCACGCGCTCACCTGCGGGACGTAGGCAGCGGACGCCACCGCCCCAACCAGCTTCTGGCTAAAGCCGCTGAATTTGTAATACATGGTGCCGGGCTCTGCGCACACGCCGCGCTACCTCCCCCCCAGGCGCCCGGCTGGCCGCGCCACACTCCTGGAAAAGACCCTCCCCTTTCCGGGGCTTCCTCAGCCGCCAGGGCCCCGGGCTAGGGAAACCAGTTTTGTAGCGGGCCGCGCCGGGTGCCTGTAGAACAAACTCGGAAACCTGCCACACGCGGTGCCTGGAAGACTTGAGTAATAAAGGCGAGTCCTTCGTGCATGGCGGGAGCGCTAACCGCCCTCGTGTTCTGTAGCGAACGCTTAGGGTGGGCGGCAGTACCCAGTCAGGCAGCAGCTGGGCAGCTTGGAGCCTCATACGCCTGCGCATTGGAACTCCTCACGCGGGCTTGAGACCCTCCTCGCTCGGCTTCTGGGGAAAGGCCCAAGAGCCAACCAATAAGCGACGGAGGGCGGTTGAAACCCCGCCTCCTGCATAACAACTGTTGCTAGCCGGGGGACGCTTTCTATGCCGGCGTCTGCAGCCTGCGGGCCAGAGAAGCAGCGGGGCGGGCTCATACGCCTGCGCATTGGAACTCCTCACGCGGGCTTGAGACCCTCCTCGCTCGGCTTCTGGGGAAAGGCCCAAGAGCCAACCAATAAGCGACGGAGGGCGGTTGAAACCCCGCCTCCTGCATAACAACTGTTGCTAGCCGGGGGACGCTTTCTATGCCGGCGTCTGCAGCCTGCGGGCCAGAGAAGCAGCGGGGCGGGCGTGGGAGCCGGGCGGCAGAGAAGATGCCCGGGGAGGGGACGTGCGGTCCGGTGCGCTGCTTCCGAACCTAGCGGGGGGGCAGGCGAAGGGAGTCTCCTCCCCCGTGAGGGCTGAGCGCCCTTCATTCCCCTGCGCGTCGGTTTTAACTGGGGCTCCAGGTGACTGACTTGTGGGTGTGTCTCTGCACGTGCCTATGCAAATGGGGACTCGGGTGGCCCTGCTCTGTCGTTACGATTGTCGGTACTTTTCATTGTTACTGCGCTGCCACCATTCTTCCCTCCCACACCGCTGCCCTGTGAAACCGGAATCCAGACTGATGTGCGCTGGTAACTAATGGTGAGTATTGGACATGCTAGTATTGTACTCCCTTTATAATCACACAGAATTTAAAAAAATCATTTCCTGTCAAAAGCTTGGAAATAACTTGGAAATACAGTTTCATTTCCTGAAGTTTAACATGTGTTTGCGGATCTATTTGCCAAACAATTCCTGTCTCCCCGCACCTATTATCTTTTTAGTGGAAATGAAATCTACACTGCAGTTTGTTTTGTGAAGATTTCCTTTCTTGCAAAGGTGATCATGATGAGGCTTCTTTCATTTGAGTGAATTTAATCCTCGAAGTTGTGGCAGCTCTGGAAAATTAAGTCCTCTCTGTATTCACAGAATGGAGACAGCTTAGTTAACAACTGTTGAAGCTTCCCCATATTAATCAACATTAGTAACGCTAATCAACAATCAACTGTCTCACCTCAGGCTGACCAATTAAAATCAATAGGAATCTTTCTTCTAGCATGGATGGGTTCCAAATCATGCACTCAGATCCAGAATCAGTAGCAATGAAACACCTAAATATCTTTGTGGGTTGGGGCCTTAGTCCTTGTCCTCTCTGAGATTATCAACAAGGATGCCAAATATGACTGCTTTTTGTTAACCTGCATGCTTGCACAGTGGGAAGTAAATTCACCTCCCCCCTTCTCCCTAAATTCTTATCATACGCTCGCAGATCACTGATAACTTTTAGTCATTACTGACCTGGATCAGATTCACTATGATTTCCTACAAGTGAAAGACTCTCTATCCAATTATCAGTCCTGGGTGCCATCCAGTCACCCATAAAAGATATGATCACAATGTGTTGCCTAGCAATCATAAAAAAAGAAGGCTGGGAAAAAATAATTCCATAGGAGATGCAATAGGAGACAAAGTGACCCATTTACCAGAAGAGACACAAATGAAAAGATTCCTCCGCCCGCCCGTCTGTTGATCACTATGTACTTGTTTGGGGTGGCTTTTTTTTTTAATTTAATTTTTTTTTGGCTCCGTAATTTTGGGTCTACTAACAGGAATGGCCTCCTGTTCACAGCACGCCTCCCACAACCTACAGGGATTTACTCTGCAAGATAACACTGATTCTGTTAGCATAAAAAGCCCCTGTGTACACTGAACTCACCTTCACCTTTGGAAAGAGGGTTTTGAGCTTGATACTAACATGACTCCATGAAACGATTGTTCTTGCTTATACATGTTGTGAGGTGGCTGGGGGCGGGGAGGGTATGGTTCCCAGAGACTAACTAGTCTTTGTCCTTCTTCTGTTCTGTTCAAAGATTTTAGCCTCAGGGAAACTGAAACAATTTGGATTGTTTACTTTGGAAAGGAGAAAATAAGAGGCAACATGAGAAGAGTATATGACATAATGAATTATACAAGTGAGATAAGAATCTTCTCTATCAGTTACAAAAAGAACAAGGGAACATTAAATAAAACTGAACAGTGGAAAGTTCAAACCTGATAAAAGGAATATTTTTTTCATTGAGCTTGTAATTCGAGTGTGGAACTCAGGGTACGTCTAGACTACAGGCAGTCCCCGGGTTACGTACAAGATAGGGACTGTAGGTTTGTTCTTAAGTTGAATCTGTATGTAAGTCGGAACTGGCGTCCAGATTCAGCCGCTGCTGAAACTGATCAGTTTCAACAGCGGCTGAA